GTGAGAGAAGAGCTGATATTTCTTCTTTAATAAAAAGAAAAAATTGTCTCGTCTGGTGACATTGAAAAATAATAAATATGAAAACAAACATTTTATCTATTTTATGCGAGAGTTCCTTCGATGGAAATTTAACAAACAAAAAGTACTGAAATATCGGAAGTTAAGAGAATTCGCGGCAAGTACGATGGATTTCTATCGATTTTTTGCTAAAGTAACATCCATACGATATCCATCAAACTATTTGTAACTAAAAGGAGATACGATAATTCTGGGACATCCTGTGTATGCCAAAGTATACAATTCTGTTGATTGATAATGTAATTGATTTTTGTATAACATTATGTAAACTGTGCAGCAGAGGCCTCAGTCTTTGGAACGAATTGCTAAAGAAACAAAAGTCAGCATCGTGTGCGTTACAAGCTATATTAACCTTTAATTTCTGTCTCTGAAGTTACCATTGCGCTGAATACATTTCGTGATGAATGATGAAGAGTGCGAAGATGATAGTTAATGGATTCATCTCAATATTATAATTAATATTAAATTACGAGTATGATTTTTTAAGGGACAACAAATATTTACACTCGCGCTTTCGCACTTTTCAATTCTACCGAGATCAGAAACGCAAAATTAGATGTAGGAGCGGGTAAGGAAGACGAAAATCACAAGAAAAATGCGAGTTGAGCGACACACTTAACGATACATGGACGTAAAATAAAGAAAGAGAGGAGTCGCAGGATGGATCAGACGATGTAGTTAATGGTGAGACTGTAACGAGTAGACTGGACGGACAACCAATTAACTACATAATCGTGTGAGAATGGATGTGGGAATGTGGTAGCGAGTGAGAGTGCAAAGAGAGTGAGAGAAAGAGAAAGAAAGAGAGAGCGAAAGAGGATCGGTTTTATAAGAAAAAAAAGAATAAAAAATAATAATTACGGTAGAGTCGAGGACCTGGCGCCTCCTTGTCGCCAGTTTGGTTATGGCCTTATCCAATTTTTCCAAGACTAAAGCAAATTTATATTAGGTACAATGAGTATATGTGACATGTACAGGTCCAAATCTGTAAATTTCCAATCTTGCAATTCGTAATTGCGGCTCGCGCGGAAAAGCGTATTAAAGAGTTAAATTATAAATAATTAAGAATTTAAATTATAAATAATTGAGGATATTCCGCGCGCCCCGCGACACACGTGACACATAACATACACACGTACACCACACGTACACGCGTAACACACTTTTGTCAATTGCGATTTTGGATAGACCATTTAAGTAAGGGGAAAATGGAAAAAAAAATTTGTCTATCACCTTCTATTATCAGATATATTACATCTGTGTACTGTCTGTCTGTTTCCGTTGTTAAAATGGATTTTTATCATAACGTTTGTTTATTTCGAGCAATCCTCATCACACACAAAATAAGAAAAGATAATTTATTAATAAAACCATTTACAAATCAATGATCGTGCGTCTGGTACTGCATACTAATAATTAAGAACCTAGTTTTAGTTATTCTTATTATTCTTACTTTTAGTGTAAAGCGAACAGGGGAGAGAATTTACTCGAGAGAACAAGTTTACACACGGTGTCGCAAAAGAGACATGTTCTTCCCCGACTTTTTGTTTTTGGCGTGAATAATATGGAAATTTTTCCCCTTATTTTTATCTTTTTTTTACCCTCACTTATATATCCCAGAAGACTTCTTAAAATTATCTTGAAGAATCTCAAGATAATTGTACGATAACTCGTCCGAATTACCGTCATATCGAAACATATCCAACTATAGATGATGGACAGGATCACCCGTATCGATCAGATGTATATCTGTATAAGTGAGGGTATGTATAACTAAAGAGGCTGCGTTAGCTCTTATTCTAAGAATGATTGCGTAATTTATGCCACGATGAAACTGTAATTTATGCGCAATTGCGAAGAATTCGTGAATTCTGGCTTCTTGCCAGCATGCGTACGCTAGGTATGATAGCGCTGATAATTTTGTACGTCAAACTCGAAGTCGAGAGTCGACATTGACCGAGGGAATCGATTCGCGCTCGAATATTGGGACTTCGAGGATCTTCTGTCGACTCTCGAGCTGTCGACTGCATAGTCCCGGCCTAACCACCGTCACAACAAGATGTGTTCGACGTGTGATTTTTTGGAACGTGCCTTGGAATTTTCCAAGACTACTCTCGGAATATATCATAAATTGGAGAATAATGGCGTTGGGGCATAACTCTTAGAGAGGCCTGGAGCCAAATGCTGAAGTTGACTGCCGCGCATGCGCAGCCGGCCGGAGTTGCGACGCTCCGCCGCGGCAGGTGGCGTGACTAACATGGCCGCCGGTGGTTCGCGTACGCGTAGTGCACCGCCGCGCTCTCAGTGCCTCTCCGCGCTCCCGTACGTGTGTTTCGGTTCTCGCGAGTTGGTGTCGCGCCGCTGCCTCCCCCCTGCACAGAGCTGCGAGCCGTCGTCGTCATCGTCGTCATCGCGTCCGACAAGTTGAGAGGCAAAGTGTGAGAGAGAGAAGGACACAGAGTTTGAGTGCTTGGCTGTTTTCTTCGAGATTTTCTGGCGACCTGACGCAACTGCGACGAGCGCTTCAAGAGACATGGCCGAGAGTAAGGGCGCGTTAATCGCGAAGACAGTGCAAAAACACGCTGGCAGGGCGAAGGAGAAGGTGAGTGAACGAATGCTCTGCCGCCCTCAACCTTTCGCGATTTGTCCTCTCGCTCGCTCGCTGACTCGCGTTCCTCGTTCTCGTAAGATCGCCTCCGAGACTCGGCGAATGTCGTGGGTGCGTACGCAAATATTTCTGATCTCGCACGGCGAGAGAAAGATCAACGCGAAAATCCGTGAACGACAGGAGCCGACCATAACCTCTTATCTTCGCGTCGCTCTCGAGTGTTCGTTGCGGCATCCAAAAGTCGCTAATGTGTATTTCTGTTGATAAAATACGTCTCGCATTGTTCTTACTGAGGAGTGTTAGACGCGCGATCGTTGCCCGCGACGCATGTCAATACAACAATACGCGATTGACCTTCGCCGATCGGACAGAGATAAGCGACTCGTGCGCGACGACAACAAAAAAGGATAGCAAACGTCAGTTGCTCGTCTGCTTGGTGCACGGAGCGTGTTTTCGCGGGTTTTCCTCAATGTTGCGGGACGTCGTTCGTGGAAATTGCTATTCGCGCGAACTTACACACCTCACTATGTCTCGTAGCAATTGTAAGTAATTTGTGAAAAAAGACACGTGATTTATCTGCGAAAAGAGCGAAAGATCGCTAGACAACGCGCGAAAAGATGGCGATGGGGTCTCGTCGAGGCGAGATTCACCTGTCGAGAGCGCGAATTGACTAGCCACGCGCATGAGAGGTAAAAAAGTACAATTAATGACACTAATTGTCTGACTAACAATAAGTGTCTTGATGTGCCGTGTCTTGGCGAGAGGAAGAAGCGCGAGGGGCATGAGGGGCTCTTCCTCTTTTTTCTATTTTCTCTTTCGACGTAGCACGCGCACGCTAAGCCGTGCACGATCTTACGTAATTTATCGGTAAACACCTCCGCAATTTCGCGGCGCGCTATTGCTCGAAATGACAATTATGCAACGCCGTGCCTGCGTAGAAAAGAATACATACACTCAGTCCACGGACGCCTTACTCTCGATAGATCGATAGTTATTAAAACTTCTCGGTCAGCTGCTTCGTATTTAACTGTGCGTTTCTCATAGATCTGCTAATTAATCCAAGACAGCTTTTCGGATTAATTGACAACGATGAAAAAAAATGTTACCTTGGAGTGAATATGGCCGATTGAAAATTTTTGGTAACTATCGATTTATTCGTTATCTATCGAACTGATAGTGCAGAGCACGTCGTGCAATAGCGCGATAACTTCACGTCGTAGCACGAATTTTCGGCGCACGACATCTATTGCGCAGCCATTTTCGATCTTTTGCATCGAGCAGCCGCCATTAGCACATCGATCAACATCGCTCCGTGTCTCTTTTGTCCGTCAAAAGTGCGAAAATAAGTGTCGCGAATGTCGTAGATAGAGACATGTGATCGTCGGGATTGTAAGTACATTATTGGTCTCCTTGAGACTGTTTCCTTTTTTGATACATGCAACCGGTGCGTGTCGAGTCGGCGTCGTTTCTTGCATACCTCTCTACCAACGTCGATTAAATCTTAACCTGAAAATTCAAGTTTTTGTCTGAATAGAGTTCAAATTAAAATTTTATCTACGTTAGAAACGAGTATTAGGCTGGTATTCGTACTTCGATCTTAGATTGTCTTGATCTAAGGTTGTCTTAGATTCATTTTTAGATGTTGTGTAGCCAATGAAATAACCCGTACAATATCTGAAGATCAATTTAAGACGATTTTAAATTTAGGATCTGACTATGAATAGCATCCTTACATTTGTTATCGCTATCAACTCACTCAAGTAGTGATAAAATCGTCAGATTTATTAATCGAAAATTAGAAATACGATGGTAATCGGGGGAATAGATAGATAATATATATCATCAGAGATATACCTGACGCCACGAATCTTGGTAGATAGCGTCGGTCTGTTCATCCAAAAAATATAATTTTGCCTCTAGTAAAATCCTCTTATATATAGTCTCAAGAGTATTCCAAAACAAAAAATATTTTAAGTACAATATTTTAAAGTTGAGAGAATTTCTTATCTTAGTTTTTTATCTACAATTTTTGTTCTAGAAATTTATTTGTAATAGAAATTTCTATTATTTCAATTTCATTATCAAGTTTCGCGTTGAAACAAAATGTTTTCGCGAGCGAGCTTGAGATGAGGCGAGTATGTTGACGTGTTTCACTTTTGACAATTCACGTTGGCGAGGAATTTCTCTGCTTTTCTCCGTGTCATTCAACGCCGTCGTATTATTTATTTACGGAAACGTTTGTGCGTGATCCACTTTTCGTTTCACTTTGTGCAATTTATCCGCGATGATCGCCTCGTAAACGAAAGTCGACAATATCTCCGCTGTTCTTTCTCTACCGCTCGACTTTTACGCAGAAAATTACCGTTTCCGCTTTTCCCCTATATTGAATTGATTTGAATCAGTGTCTATGGAAGCAACTACAGTACTTTACCTCTACACGCACATTGTAAATTTCAGTTTGCACTGAAAGCAAAAATTGGATAAAAAAAGAAAAAAAAATTAGATAAATTTATTTGGATATACACTGTAAAAAATTTGTGTAAAATTCCATGTAATTATGAGACCAAGTATTATAGTTGTAAATTTACACAATGTATCAAAATGTATCTTTCGTCTATATAAATATATTTTTATGCGATAATTACGTGTGTAAATTCACATCTATAATAGTTGGTCTCAAAATAACCCACTATAATAAGATTATAATATATAAGATGTAATTTTACACAAATTTTTTACAGTGTATGCAACCAAGTCAAAAGAGAAAAAAGAGAAAAGAGGAAGATAGTTCATATTTTTTTTTTCAAGATATTTTGTGCCGTATCCATAATCCAATAGAATTCGTTTTTTGATCAAATTCTAAGTCAAATTTTAGTTTAATTCTCAGAAGGTAAATTTTTCTATTTTATACTGGATACATTCTTGAAATTCATTCATACTGAAAAAAAGTATTTGAAAATTTATTTTTTAATTTATATAAAGCTTATTTCTGTGATGTAAATTTTACTTCTGTGAAATGAAATTGTTTTTTGCGAATAAACTTTGTATCTCACGGACAAATCTTCAAATATCCTTTTCTCAGTGCAGGTTGAAAGTATTGCGGCCTTTCTTCTGTCGATATTTTTTTACGTGTCGTGAAGCCGTCGATACGGAACTGCTACTGTTCCAATTATTATTTCTTTCTAGCCCGCGTAATTACAAAGATATAATCTATCTTAGGCATTCGATCGCGTTTACACTCGCATTCGCAAGGTACATCATAGATTGCACTCGCGATGGTGCGCGTCGCGTCGCATCGCTACTTCCGCACTTCGTCTCCGTCCGTTAATGCACACACACACACACACACACACACACACACACACACACAACACACACACGCATACGTACGTATCCGCGGCTTTCGAGGACCCTCGGCTGGTCGATGTATCGCATAAGCATTGCATAAGCGACTCCTCGTGTCACGCAATTCTCGTGTGCATCGCGCCGCGCCGAGGCAGTAGTCGTCGTTGCTCGCACAATTTCTCGGCGGCACGCGGAAATAACAATGTTCCGCGATTTTCGCATCGCGTTCCCCGAGATCGCTCGCGAACGCGATCGCGCGTTGCCGCGAGTTACATACCTCTCCTCCTTTCGACAGAGGAGGGAGCAACCTCGATCACCGGCCTCGTCGAGTTACTATCAACGTCGAATGCGCAACTTTTGCCTGTTTTTTCCTTTCTTTTTTTTTTTACCTTTTACGAGAGGCACGCTGAATATGCGCGAAGTGAACAGAGGTGTCTTTTTGCGCTAGAACGCGATTTCGTGTCCGATCCGTGCATTGGACGGATTTACGACTTCGCGCGCGCAATCGAACCAGTTCGTGGTAAGACCGCTTATTGATACCTTTATCTAATCTCCGCGATTTTTCCACCGAATTCTAGTTAATTCGTGAGTATTCCGACTCGGCATTGTAGTAAAAGCCGATTCATCTCGATCTGCTCGGTGGAACCGGTCTATGCGGCGGATGCCTGCCGCTCCGCGCTGCCCAAATCGAGAATTCGAATCGACACGTCAAGCCGCGGGAATTCGATCCGAGACGTCCCGAATTTATCCGGAGATCGTCGCGAATGCCTCGAGTGCGAGGACGCCACTTAAACCACCGCCGATCCGAGTCGTCGGCGACCATCCCTGTGAGATATCTTAATAATATTCCTCCGATTATTCTACGACGGCTCGCAGGTCTAACGGCCCGGCTGCTGTCGTTATTTCGGTTCCCGAGCGTGGCCATTATCATTCGGCGAATGTGTATTCCCGTATTCGCTGTAAAAATATCGTAGGTTGAGGGAGTTGACCGCGTGGTCGCGATAGACGGTTACACGACTCGTTATCTCTGCGCGGGAGAGAGAGAGAGAGGGAGAGAGAGCCGATACTATGTCGACGGAGACGGAGAAGCGCGTTCGCGCGATATTTATAGCGCGAGCGAAGTGAAGAATAACACTCGGCGAGACCATCGTCGCGCACTGTTCCTTGGCTTTTCAGCGGTACACAGCACATTAACGGACCGTGATAATTACGTGCCGGTCGACAGCCGATGCCTCGGATCCTTTTATCGGCGCGTTAGCGCGTCGTCGGCTCCGATACCGCGTCGTTGACTAAAATTTTCAAAAGCCCGCTTTTTTTTCAAGTAAGTCGCTAACTTCGGCGAGGTAGTTTGTCGCGGGCGAATATCATCCGAATGCGAATGCATCAACTCGTTAAAGGGTTGTTTTCATTAACTGCTCTCATTTTAATTGTAGTTTGTAACAGTAATCGCTTATAATTATTTCACAAATATTCCTAATTAAGAAGGCAACTCGATTTTGAGGTCTCAAAAATTAGCACTTTTTACGAATTTTTTTCTCCGAAACTATGCCGGCGACAAATCCCAAACTTTCTATAGTTATTAAGACATCTTATTGAAACTTATTTTTATTGAAACTAATTTTTACAAGCAGAAATAATATATAAAATCA